GCCTTCCCCCGGGCCCCAGCCTTGCCCACCGCTCCCGACCCGACGTGCCGGATTCCTTCGCCAATCTGCCCGCTTCCCGCGGCGCCTGCACAGAGCCGTGCCAGGACCCAGCCCTAGTCTCTGCGCCAGCCACGCCCCGGGAGCCAGCCAGAAAGGAGTGGAGGCTGCAGAGATGGAAAACGGGAACCTCGCTGATTCATCTAGTGCACCTGATTTGTCTGGTTCTTTTCTTCATCTGGAAACAAAAACCCAGCGGAACCGCAGCAGCAGGAGGTTGCTGGTTCAGCCCCGAGCAGACAAGGTCTGGTGTACGAAGCCGGGGGCGGGGGACATGCACAATCTGGCTTCTCCAGTAGTATTGACGTGAGAGCCGCTTCTCTCTGCCGCGTTCCAGCGGAGCAGGGAGGTGTCAGGCCAGTGGTTGCTGGCGGCATGCGGGGGCAGCGCAGCTTGTGACCCGAAAAGCAGGCTGGGGGGGTGGGGAGCCGGTCTAGCAACTGGAAAAGCACAAAACTCAGTAGGACGAGACGTGTATAAAAATATCCTGACGCACCAGGGCAAAGGTGAGTGCACGACTGGATTCACCATCGCGTCACCCGCCCTGGTGCACGTGGCAGCAGCTGAGAACCAGAGTCAGGCCCTGGGCAGGGCAGTGACTGACAGGCAGGTGCAGTGGGCAGAGCAGGCACCACACGGCGCCAGCAGGACACGGGCAGAGGCCTGGTCCTGGCAAGCACCGGGCACGCTCCGCTCGCACGGCTCCGGGGGCCTTCCTGGAGCTCGGTGCCCGGCAAGCGAGTTCCCGGCAGGGACGCGTTAGGCTCCTGAGCCCCCGAGTGTCGCTGAGCAGAGTCTCCTCCCGCGGCAGGACCTCGGCACGGAGCTCGTTACGTGGCCCCCCTGGGCCTAAGCACGGAGAGCCTGGTGCTGCCAGGCCCTGGAGAGCGGAGGGCTCAGCGAGAGCCTTGTTCTCCACTGAGCAATTAAACACACGCCCCAAGAAAACCCCCAGCAGACCAAGTGCAGCCGGCCGGCCCCGCGGGACGCCACCCGGCGGCACGGAGCAGCACCGGAACCCCCCCTCCCTTGGGCCCCAGGTCCGGCTGAACCCAGGGATTCTCCAGCGGGTGTTAGGTGCAAGCCGATGGGAGCTGGGAGCCAATTCCCCTCACCCGGCGAGCCAGAGCAGAGGGAATAGAAGAGGCAAGGGGGGAGGGAGGAAAAACCCAGCGTCCGCGGCGCTGGAGGCACCGCATCTGAATCCCCGTCGCACCAGAACCCAGCTCCAGGCCCTCGCCTACACCCTCTGCCCCGCAGCCTCTGGGTCTGAGCTGCCACATCTCCGGGGCTCCCCCCCAC